CACTTGGAACGTCACTGACTTGGCCGCAGGTCCCGCTTGCTTGGACGTTGTCCGGGGAGTCTGGAGTGGGTAGACCTTCTGCAGGCCGTCAGTTAGCATCATGATTCCACCATCTAACTGTACTCCGTGACAATGTCTACCAGCACAATTTACGCTGCGAAATTGGAAGACCTCATTCGGACAGAACAGGTCAACCGCGCTGCGTTCCGCGTTGCGTTCATCAACCAAGTGGCATCAGGACAAGACCAGTTACAAAGCGATCACCAGTGCTGACAAGATTATACTGGATTGCCCTTGACTTGTATGATTAACACATCTTTGCCAGTCCAAACTGGCGGTAGTGTAAGCCAAAGTGGAATGTCCCGTAACTAGCTTATTATGTTTTTAGAGAATAAATTTTGAAATTTACTACAGACCATTGTGGACTTTGTGTAATGCAAAATCCGATTTCGTCCCATAGCTCATGGGCTCGCTGCGAATAGCAGCTGCGACGGAGAGTGCGTAGTGGCAACCCATCTTTTTGACTAAGCGCAGATCAATGCAGGACATGCAGTGGTCCGCTGCTCTTTCGAGCAAGCACATACGACGCTCCGTCATCCCGCCGTGCGGCAAATTGAACATTTGGTCGGAATTCAGAGCCATGTAAGTCTTGATGCGGGCCTTCAGAGAGCTGGAGTAGCCTGCGTTAGAGCACAACGGATTAGTGGGTATAACAAGCTCATTTAAGCTCTTAGTACCTTCGATCGGATTGTACGTATGAGAATAGGGGCAGAGCCGCAGTAGCTCCAGGTCCTCTCTGCCTTGGACCAAGTCTTCTGCCCGGTTGTGTGCAGGTGCGTTATCTAAAAGTTAACTATCTTTTTACTGACGAAATGGTCCCTGTAGACATATGTTGCCTTCACAGCATCGTAGATGTCGTCCACAAAAGCCGCATTCACTTCCATTTTAATGCTTTCACGTCGTCTAGACCAGTGAACCAGCCCAACCGCTGTGGAAACTGCACATTGCCATTGTAAGCTCGCGCCTTCAGAAGGTGGAGGCGTCACATCCGCACGCTGCCCAATAGGAGCTCGCCCTTGAGATCGTTTACAGTACACCTTTGCCAGTCCAAATCGGCGACAGTGTAAAGCAAAGCGGTGTAAAGTAACTCAAGTGACAAAAAAAATAATTTTTATTTCAAAAAAATTACTTTAGAGCAATGGCGATTTAGTGCAGAGCTAACTGGTGGTCGGCATCAAAACCTCTTCTTCTGGCATCATGCCAACAGAACCAAAGCATGGCCTCACGGCCTGGACACGCGTTCTCGACGCACACAAGGCTGGGCAGGACTAGGCCTTAGTAGCCGATTGCAATGGAATTCCAGCTACAACGGCTCGGACTATCGTCGAGCGAGGAACCCCGGACATCAAGAAGAGAGGCGGCGCGCGGGCGACATGCACTAAGTGCACGCCGGAGATGGAGGAGGCCCTCGTAGAATACCTGGAGGATAACTGCCAATACACGCTCGTGCAGATGCAGGAGATGCGGCAGTACGACTTTGGAGTTCGTGTCAGCACCTCCACAATAAGTAAGAAATTGTGTGACAAGTTGTATACTGTGAAACAGGTAAAAAAGATCTATTTTAATTTATATTTTATTTGTATTGTACTAAATGGCTAGTGTTTATTGCATAGGGTTCGAGTTGAGCCAGAAACATGTAACAACGATGTGAATATCGAAAAGAAGGAGGAAGTTTAGTGAAGCATTGCTGGCTCATGAGCGCAAGGGGTCCTGTCCTTTGTGTATTACGATGAAACAAATTTTAATTTTGTAATGCAAACGTACACAGGGCC